CATTTGACATTGCCCTGCCCATTAAGCAGGGACCTCACCCGCCCACATCAGGGCCTGAGAGCTGGTAGTATCACCCACTCCATCTAGGCACTCACATCAGGGGTCTAAGAATAAGTGGTGCTTCCTAGTCCCTCCAGCCAACAGTATCGACTGCCCAGAGACCAGCTGCAAAACCCACTACACGACGCACTTTAGGGGACAGGGACAAGCCCTCCAACCAGGCAACTGGGGGCAGCCATCAGCCCCATGCCTTGCTCTGCATATAGCCCCCTACTGCACCCAGATACCTGTGCCTGCTCCGAACACCCCTACACAGCCCTACCCATCTAGGACTGTAGGTGAGAGTGCAGCACATACTGGGTGGCTGATGACCTGGACACCTGTGCCACATCCGCACAAGAAAAGTGAACAGACTCCGGGGCTCACACACCTAGTAGCTGCTCTAACTACCTAGAGACAGGACATGAGAGCTTCAAAGACGCCAATAACCAAAGTAGCTCACATGCCCAGCCTACTTGGGCATATCAAAATAAAACAAAACAAAAAGCTGGGACACAGTAAACAAATATACAATAAATAAATATAATAACTTATTGATGGCTTGGAGACAATAGTCAATATCAGATCACATAAAGAAGCAGGTCAAGATGACTCCAGCAAGCGACCAAAATGAAGAACCAAAAAACCTTCCAGAGGAAGACAAAGTCATGGAATCACTGGAGATAGAATTCAAAAGATTAATATTCAAAGTTCTCCAAGAGATCAGGAATGAAATCATGCAAAACTCAGACGTAGCCAAGGAACATACAAACAAAGCAATAGAGAAATTCAGGAAAACAATACAAGAACACAACAGCAAATTTAACAGGCTGCTGGAAACCATAGAGAGACAGCAACTAGAAATCCAAAAGATTAACAATAACGTCTCCAAATTAGACAACTCACTAGAAGATCATAGGAGCAGAACTGAGGCAATGGAAGTCAGAATTAGTGAGATTGAAGATAAAGCACTTGACACTAATTTATTTGAGGAAAAATGAAAAAAAAAGAATTAAGAAAACATGAAGAAAACCCTAAGAATTATGTGGGACACTATCAAGAGGAAAAACCTACAAGTGATTGGAGTACCAGAACAGGGAGGATAACAGAAAATACAGAAAGAATTGTTGTAGATTCGCTGGCAGAAAACTTCTCTGATACGGTGAAAGATGAGAAGATATCCAAGAAGCTCATCGAACCCCACAAGAGTAGATCAAAATAAAGTCACCAAGCATATTAAAATCAAACTTGCCAAAACCAAAGACGAAGATAGAATCTTGAGAGTGGCTAGGGATAAACAAAAAGTCACCTACGAAGGAGAATCCATATGACTAAGCTCTGACAACTCAGCAGAAACCATGCAGGCAGGAAGGCAATGGGATGACATATATAAAGTCTTGAAGGAAAAAAATTGCCAGCCAGGAATTATATATCCAGCAAAACTGTGTCTCAAATATGATGGTGAAATTAGGGCATTTCCAGATAAACAGAAGTTAAGGTAATTTGTAAAAGCAAAACCAGAATTACAAGAAATATTAAAGGGAGTCCTCCGGTTAGAGAACCAACAGTATCAGAAAAAAACCCAAGACTAGGACATAGGACAGAACAACCGGATATCAACCCAGATAGGGAAGTCACAAAAACAAGACAAAGCTAAAAGACTGAAAATAGGGAAAAAGAGATGTCAGTATGTAAACAATGACAATGTCAAAACAAAAAAGAGGGACTAAATAATGTAGTCATAGAACTCCCATATGTAGAGGAAGTTAAGGCGATATAAAGAAATAAAAGATCGGTTTAAACTTAGAAAAATAAAGGTAAATTTTAAGGTAATCACAAAGGAAGCTAATGTATATACCCATCCAAATAAAAAAGAAGAAAAACATAAAGACTCAGCAAACACAAAATCAACAATAATGAAAAAGATGAAAAGAAAATACATAAAGAAAAACAACTCAGCGTAGAAGGTTAAGTGGAACAAAGAAACTGTGAACAACACACAAAAAAAGACATCAAAATGACAGCACTAAACTCATACCTATCAATAATTACGCTGAATGTAAATGGACTAAATGCACCAATAAAAAGACAGAGAGTGGCAGAATGGATTAAAAAAACACGATTCATCTATATGCTATACTTACAAGAGATACACATTAGATTCAATCACAAACAAACTAAAACTCAAAGGATGGAAAAAAATATATCAAGCAAACAACACCCAAAAAAGAACAGGAGTGGCGAAATAGACTTTAAATCAAAATCCACTGTAAAGGATAAGGAAGGGCACTATGTAATGATTAAAGGGTCAATACACCAGTAGGACATAATCATAATAAATATGAATGCACCCAATGACAGGGCTCCAAAATACATAAACTTTAACAGCATGGAAAAGGGAAATAGACAGCTCCATAATAATAGTAGCAGACTTCAACATACCACTTGTGGTGAAGGGCAGAACATCTAGAAAGAAACTCACTAAAGACACAGAAGATCTAAATGCCACAATCAATCAACTTGACCTCATAGACGTATACAGAACACTCCACCCAACAGCAGCCAAATATACATTCTTTTCCAAAGCACATGGAACATTCTCCAGAATAGACCATATTTTAGGCCACAAAGCAAGCCTTAACAGAATCCAAAACATTGAAATATTGCAGAGCATCTTTTCTGACCATAAAGCCATAAAAGTAGAAATCAATAACAGAAACAGCTAGGAAGAAAAATCAAATACATGGAAACTGAACAATACCTTGCTCAGAAACTACTGGGTTATAGACGAAATCAAGGATGAAATAAAGAAATTCATAGACTCAAATGAGGATGAAAACATACCTTACCAGAAACTTTGGGATACAGCAAAAGCAGTGCTTAGAGGTCAATTTATTGCACTAAGTGCACACATCCAAAAAGAAGAAAGGGCCAAAATCAGAACATTAACCCTACAACTTGAACAAATAGAAAGCAGCAAAAGAAGCCCTTAGGCACCAGAAGAAATGAAATAATAAATATTAGAGCAGAAATAATGAAATAGAGAATAGAAAAACAATTGAAAGAATCAACAAAACCAGAAGTTGGTTATTTGAAAAGATCAACAAAATCGACAAACCATTGGCCAAACTGACAAAAGAAAAAACAGGAGAGGAAGCAAATAACCCGAATAAGAAATGAAATGGGTGATATCACAACAGACCCAACTGAAATAAAAAGGATCGTAACAGAATACTATGAAAAGTTGTACTCCAACAAATTTGAAAACCTAAAGGAAATAGACAAGTTTCTAGAAACACACTACCTACCTAAACTAACCCAAACCAAGGTAGAAAAATTAAATAAACCCATAACAAAAGAAGAGATTGAATTGGTTAAAAAAAAAAAAAAAAAACTCCCAACAACAGCAACAAAAAATCCCTGGCAAGGACAGCTTCACTGGAGAATTCTACCAAACTTTCAGAGAAAAGTTAGCACCATTACTACTAAAGGTATTTCAGAGCATAGAAAAGGAAGAAATACTCCCGAACTCATTCTATGAAGCCAGCATAACCCTGATACCAAAGCCAGGTAGAGACATCCCCAAAAAAGAATATTACAGACCAGTATCCCTCATGAACATAGATGCAAAAATCCTCAAAAAGGTTCTATCCAATAGAATTCAACAGCATATCAAAAAATAATTCATCATGACCAAGTGGAATTCATACCAGGTATGCAGGGATGGTTCAACACTGGAAAATCTGTCTGTCTAAACCATCACATAAATAAAACAAAAGATAAGAACCACATGATTTTATCAATTGATGCAGAAAAGTCATTTGACAAAGTCCAACACCCATTTCTGATAAAAACTCTCAGCCAGAATTGGAATAGAAGGGAAATTCCTCGACATAATAAAGCACATTTATTCAAAGCCAACAGCCAACATCATTGTAAATTGAGAGAGACTGAAAGCATTTCCCTTGAGAACGAGAACCAGACAAGGATGCCATTTATCACCACTCTTATTCAACATTGTACTGGTGGTCCTAACGAGAGCAATAAGGCAAGAAAAGAAAGTGCATCCAAATTGGTAAGGAAAAAGTAAAAGTATCCCTATTCGCAGATGATATGATCTTATACACAGAAAACCCCAAAGAATCCATGAGAAAACTATTGGAACTAATAGATTTCAGCAAAGTATCAGGATACAAGGTAAACATAACAAAAATCAGTTGGATTCCTCTACACCAACAAAGAGAACATCGAAGAGGAAATCACCAAATCAATGCCATTTACAATAGCCCTCAAGAAGATAAAGTACTTTGAGAAATCAATCTAACCAGAGACGTAAAAGACCTATATAAAGAAAACTACAAAACACTTCTGCAAGAAACTAAAAGAGACCTACATAAGTGGAAAAACATACCATGCTCATGGATAGGAAGGCTCAACATTATGAAAATGTCAGTTCTACCCAAAGCAGTCTACAGATGCAGTGCAATCCCAATCCAAATTCCAATGGCAATGGATAATTTTAGTAACTCTCTAGTGAAGAGCCTGTAATTTAGCCTTCATTTGATGTTATGTTACTGAAATAAGTTTCTGCTGCTGGGTGATTTCAGTTTTTTTTTTTTTAAGTATTATTTCTGTATTGGTGGTAAGTTCATACACGTAGATTCTGAAAAGAATGTGTTTCTGATTAATGTATGGCTGTAACAAAGTATGAGGAGCCCTGGTAACACAGTGGTTAGCTCACTCAGCTGCTAACCAAGAAATCCATGGTTTGAACCCACCAGCCACTCCGCGGGAGAAAGACATGGCAGTCTGCTTCCATAAAGATTTGTAGCTTTGGAAACCCTATGGGGAAGTTCTCCTCTGTCCTGTAGGGTCTCTATGAGTCAGAATCGACTCGATGGCAGTGGATGGGTTTGGGTACCAGTGTATATGCTTCTGACCTATTTTCTCTGCTTTCACAGGGTCGTTATGGTTGCTGTCGCTTTCTAAGAGATGGATATAAAACTCCTAAAGAGGTAGGTTTCTTTCCCTCAAAATGAACCTAAGGCAGAATGGTCACTGCTATCTTCATCCTCTTTCAAAGAAAAAACTGACTGATGGTACTTATATAGACCAGTACAGAGGGTAACAGTAACTGATGTTTGCTGCCTTTGTTGGGTTTAGTTGTTAAATTTGCCAGTGTGTGAATCTTTCTGGATGCAATAATAGGTATAGAGGAAGGTACAGTTCCTCGTGGCCCCCTCTTCCACCTCTTGCAGGTAGTTAGTTATAAGCAGTTGTTGATCTTGAAAAGTAAAGTTCTTTTTGTTTATTTGTCAAATTTTCCCCTTTTAAATATCAGTGGGGAAAATTAAGTGTTATTAAAGAGAATCAATGGTCTGTAAGAAGAAACACTTGCAATGGCAATGCAAATATATTTTAAGACTTAGATACGCTGGTCAAGAGCCATTATACTTTTTTTTTTTAATCATGGAGCTCAAACTCTTCTGGAAGATGTTGTCTTCTACCTTGCTTCCACTTCATTCTTTAGCCCTGAATTTGACTTTAGCCCCTACCAATCTGCTAAAATTATGCTCTGAGAGATCATTGTAATCTCCTAAATGACCAATCCAATAGCCTTTTATCAAATCCTTGTTCTCCTTGTCTTCTCTGTAGTATTTCACTATTTTCCCATTTCAATTCCACTACACTACACCATCCTGATTCTTCTCCTCTCCTCTGCCCTTCATTCATGCAACTCTGAGGGTTTACTGACAGTGTGTTCTTGGGCTGTTTATTTTATATTAGTACTCTTTCACAGAGTTCATCTCTAACTTGTGCTTCATGTGTCACCTCTATGAGGATAATTCCCAAACCTTCGCCTCTAGTTGCCCATCTAGATATTTCTATTTGTGTCCTGCCATTACCTCAAACTTAACAAGTGTAAAACCAAACTCAACTTTCTTGCAAACCAATCTCACTTCTTCATATACTCATCTGTGATGCCATTATTATCCCTGTTCCCCTAGTTAGAAGTCACATCATAGAGTCCTTGTTAAAGATAGAGAATGTGTACGTGCTCTTCCTTCCCTGACCACCTTCTCCAAAACAGTCAGTAGTGAACTCCATACTGTAATTCCTCTGACATAAGACAGACTTTGTTTATTGGTTTTTTTTTTTTCCAGGATCCCAATCGTCTGTACTATGAACCAGCTGAGCTAAAGTTATTTGAAAACATTGAGTGTGAATGGCCATTATTCTGGACATACTTTATCCTTGATGGGGTCTTCGGTGGCAATGCAGAACAGGTAATGAGCTGCTGAAAGAGCTTTTCCTAATAGGGAGGAGACAAAGTTGTGTTCTAAGACTAGTAGCTCAGGGCACTAGGTTAAGAATTGGGAGTCCTGGATTTTTCTTTCCTTTCTGTTTCAATTTTTTTTGGAGGGGGCGGTGGTTCACTACTGACCATTGAGTAGCTCACGTGTTGTCATTGACTTCTTCTCTTTCTCTGTTTATAAGATGAGAATATTTTTTTTGTCCTCAGTAAAGATGAAGATACCCCTAAAGTCCTTTGAATGTCACAAAATCTTGTTGTTAGTGCAAGGTACATTCAGTTCTGCTGTAGTGTGGCATATGCATTTCTTAAAAAGCACCATGCTATGATAATCAAGAAATAAAAACTACAGGGCTAATGGAAAGATAGGCTTAGGGACACAACACTTAAAAACTTTGTCAGTAACACATAAAAAATTATAGAAACCTAATAAGAGCTGTATCATAGCTTTATACATGTTAAATGGTTAAGAAATACATAAATACTATGGTATATATGGCACTTTTACCTTGAAAAAGGCCTGAAGTTTTCTCTGTAAATGTGTGCCCATATTTACTCCACCAGCCCACCTGTCTGGCTCCCATGCCTGCCACCCTAAATGTGAAAGGAAGAGAACAAAAGAGTGGGAGAAAAACAGTGAGAGAAAAGAAAGAAAAAAAAAACAGATGGAAAATAAAAAACAGGCTGAGAGGAAAATTAGAAAGGGGAGGGCACGTGGCTATGCAGCCAGGGTGGCCATCGGAAGGGTTGCAGCTTGTGAATTTTTGTGAAGTGGCAGAAGGAGAGTTATCTGAAATCACATGGAAAGTTGTAACAACAGATGCGAATGGATATGGCTCATTTTCCTGGTGAGGTGTGTGCATGTGTGTATTTTTTTGTATCCTTACGCAGCTCAGTTTAGCTGAGTGCGTTCTCAGAGTGAAATTGTGCATGAGCAAGTGTGAAATTCATGTTATGCTCAAATTGTTCTCTAATACATCAAATGCATTGGAACAAAACAAGTGCTATAGCACAACTGTATTTTTTTACTATAAATTACAGAGTTTTTTAATGTATGCTAATCTGGAGCAAATTGTTAAGCAAAGAATATAAGCTTGACTTCAATAAAAACTTAATTTGGTAGGGAAAAATATAGTTTTTAAAAAGCTAATACATCCTAAAGTCAAGAAGCTATTCCTAGGATAGTACATAGTGAATAAAAACAGGCCTTTGGAGGTGGGCTGACCTGCGCTAAAATCTGAACTCAATCACATACTTGCTGTGCGATCTTCCACAAGTTTATAACTCCTTTGAGCCTTAATTTCCCTTTAAAAAAGTGATAATTACGCATACCTGCTAGTATGGTTATTAAAACTAAATGCAGTAAAGTATGCAATAGTATTTCACCTATAGCAAACATTTAGTAAATGCAATTTCCTTTCCTCTCCCTTTCACTAGGTGAAAAAGTTCCTTTGCAATAGGACTTTCTTTGGCCACAACCTTCCCTTAGATCCCCAAGGGAACTCTCTGTATAAGTTTTTTTCTGCCTTTCTTTTATCTGCAGGTTCAAGAGTATAGAGAGGCTCTTGAAGCAGTCCTTATCAAGGGCAAAAATGGAGTCCCACTTCTGCCAGAGCTGTACAGTGTTCCTCCTGACAAGGTGAGTTGGACAGTGCTATCGCATGGAGCTGAGAGGAGTAATACTTTGAAAGGATTACCTCATTTGAGTAAAATAATTTTCAGTTTTTAATAAAGTTTTAAAAGTTTGTCTTTAGTTATAGGACAACAGAAATAGGATTTTATTCGTTTAAAAATAAACTTTTTAACAGTCTCAGTTATGGCACTGTTGCAAAGCTAGATAAGGACAAGACCAGATCTTGAGGTTGTGAATGATATGGGTATCAGTAGGCAGAACTAGAGTGATCTTTTGTCTGAGTTCTCAGGATTTGGGATTCCTGCTTTCAGGTTAGTATCTGGGATTGTTTGAGTAGATAAGGCTTGGAAAACAAAGTATGTACTGTCTTCATTTTCCCAAAATGCCAGTGAGGAGTACCACTGTTCCTCTTAACCATTGGAAAAGAACATTATAGACATTGGAGAAACGCAGTCTTCCATTCTGGTGGAGATGGGTAGAATAAGCTTCTAGCAGCATCAGCAGCATCACCTGAGAGCTTGTTAAAATGCAGATTGCAGGCCCCACCCTAGACTTAGGGAATCAGAATCCACTTTTTAACAAGATCCTCAGGTGATTTGTACGCACATTACAGTTTGAGAAGCCCTGCCCTAGGCTATACCCATTGCCATCAAGTCGATTCCAACTCCTGGCGACCCTATAGGATAGGGTAGAACTGCCCCCTAGGGTTTCCAAGGAGCAGCTGATGGATTTGAACTGCCGACCTTTTGGTTAGCAGCCAAATGCTTAACCACTATGCCACCAGGGCTCCTTGCCCTAGACTATAGCGCTTGACTTTTCATTGCATTGCATATGTGACTGCTTTATAGGATAGAAATCAGAATCCAGACTCAGTCTTTTTATTGTGTAGTGTCTTAAACCTTCCATTATTCTCAGGTGGCCTATTCATCTTTTCTCTTAGGTTGATGAAGAATATCAGAATCCTCACAGCGTGGATCGGGTCCCCATGGGCAAGTTGCCTCACATGTGGGGTCAGTCTCTATACATCTTAGGAAGCTTGATGGCAGAGGTAAGGGGAAACTTAAAGGCTGTCCATTTTTTTTCTGCCTTAGTCACCATAATAATTGGATTAGTGAGTAGCTCATTAAACCTGAAGGATATGTCTTTTGCTTTTGTACTTTGCTGTAATTACAGGTTCTCAGAATGAGGAGTATGGCCAACCCTTAAGAAAAATCTTTCTGCCCTGCAACCATGTCCTTTTTGCTGCCCAGAGCTCCCTATTTTGGTTCTGTACTTGAAACTGCCCAGGGATCCTGGATCTTTCCTTTTCAAAACTTCCCTCAGTGCCTTGCCTGGTGACTGGAGCCTGTTTATTTATGTATTACAACTTGCAGCTGTTTTTTATTTGCGTGGTTGATTGGTTTGTTTTTTTTTTTTTTTTGTTCGTTTTCTGCTGTGGCCATGGCTATTTGATTATCTTTAGTTGAATGTAGCAAAAATAGGCAGATGATTTGTTTAGAATAATCCTTTCCCAGTGACTTTCTCATTCAATTAGAAAAAATTAAATGCAATGAACAAAGGAGAAAATAATGAATGATATTCTTGAGGGAAAAATGAGAGAGTTCATAGTACTTCATAAATAACAAACTCAAGTCAAAAGATTTCTGCTGAGGAGGAAGTATAGCAGGCAGACATATGAATAGATGAGAAAACAGGACTAATGACTTAATTAATAATAAGCATTGTGATCTGATCATCTGAATCATGTATATATCCAGAGAAGTTAGAGCGTATAATCAGAACACTTTTTGTTTATTTATAGTTTATACCCTACCTATTTCCAAAAAAAGAATTTATGGTGGCCACTAGAAATTAACTCCAGATAAGATTAATTTGGATGTGAGTTTGTGCAGCTCAAACATTTTCATACAGTGAAGGTATTTATTTTCTAACCATACCTGTTTCTTGCATATTACACTGCAGGTTTATGGGCCCTGGAATGTGGTTTCCCCTCAAACATTAGCTTTTTTTTTTTTGGATACTTAATAATATGTCTTTTTATGGTTTTTCTTTAGGGATTTTTAGCTCCTGGAGAAATTGATCCCCTGAATCGTAGGTTTTCTACTGTACCAAAGCCAGATGTTGTGGTTCAAGGTATGTATTTTTATTCCCAGCAGCAGAAACTTTATGTTAAATGTCTAGTTAGAGGAAGACTTCTTTCGGTCAGTAAATCATGACTTTATTCTTTATCTTGAATTTTGTTAGGCTTCAAAAAGTATATCATGAGCTTGGTTTGGTTTAATTTCAAAATTGCTATTAATTGGTAGACACATGAGATTAAGTATTTGTCAAAACCCATAGGACTGTACAACACAAAGAGTGAACTCTAATGTAAATCATGGATTTAGTTAATAATGTGTCAATACTGGTTCATCAGTTGTAACAACTATACCACAGGAATGCAAGATGTTAATAGGAGAAATAACTTGCAGTGGAGAGGGAATAAATGGTAACTCTGTGGACTTTTTCCACAATTTTTCTGTAAACCTAAAACTGCTCTAAAAAAATCAAGTCTTAAAAAATACATACGTACATATATATACATTGAAAAAATTGCTATTAATCTTAATCATGAACAAATGATGTGTTAGGATATCAGAGGATTCCAAAATATTAACCACTCCTTGCTTCTTGAAACTCTTTTCTTTTAATTGTCATGGCATTGTAGCCTCCCACTTATGTCTGATTTCTCTCTGACCATTTCTTCTCTACTTTTTCTGCTTGTACTCCTTTATTCTCATATCCTTACAATTATTCTGTACTTGGTATTTTAGTCTTGGGTTTTCTTTTTTTGTATTTTACTCCCTCAGAATAAATTTCCTTCAATGACTTCAATTATTACTTTTTCGGAGAGTGCTCCAAACCTTTATTTTTCTTCCTGACAGTCAACTTAATTTCGGGGCATCTACTGTTTGCAAGACACTGGACTGAGAGCTCTGCAAACATTTCTAGTCCCAATATCTATAAAACATCTTTACCACTGATATTTAAAAACTGACCTCTTTTGTCTCCATCCTGTCCTTTTACCTCTCCCAAAAAATGCGGATCTTCTTTCCATCTTCCTTACCTCTCTCAGTGATACTGCCATTCTCCTAGGGTAGAAAGCTTAAGGTGATTTTTTGCTTTCTAAAACCAATATCCAGTTTCTTACTAAGTTCTGCTGTGAAACTCCCTGGAAATGTCTTCAGTCACTTGACTTTGGAGTTGGTTCTATTTGGAAAATAATCCTATGGGTTCTCTAAACCTTTTTATACTTGGTATCATATATGGTCATAAAGGTGCTCTTTGCATATTAATACATATAACAAACATTATATAAAATCCCATTACACTTCCCGTTTCCTGAAAAAACTTGTTCTCCTTTGAGGTTTATGCCATCTGGCTATACTGATCTCCTGGTTGCTCTACTTTATTCATTGAAGACTTTGAGACTTGACATCCAGCCTTTCTCTTCCTCCCCAACTCCTGCCATAGTTATAGGAGATTTCAGAATCTATAGAGTCGCCATCTAGCATCCATAACTCTAGTGACATTTCCCTCTACTTCTTCTTTAGCCACTCACTCCTAGAACCAAACAGAACTATTGCACCTCAGATACCTCAGATTTCAAAAAATTCCAATATCTCCTCTCTGATCATAGCCAAACATTTCAGCTCTCTTTTTTCCTCTCATATTTGTCTCTATATTCTCCTAGTCTGCCCTTCCCTACCTCATGGTTGATTATCTCAATATCTCAATCACCAGTGCACCATACTTCTGCTACACCCAGCAGGAAAAAACACAGCCACAGATCAGTTTTACAGTCTTCATTTTCTGATCCTGTACCTGTACTTCTAAAAGCTACTAGAGAAAATTCACACAAATAGGAAGAGTGATTGTTATTGTTGTTAGGTGTTGTAGAGTCAGTTCCAACTCATAGGAACCCTGTGTACAACAGAGTGAAACATGCCTGGTCATGCACCATCCTCACACTCTTTGTTATGCTTGAGCCCACTGTTGCAGCCACTATGTCAGTCCGTCTCTTTGAGGGTCTTCCTCTTTTTCGCCGACCCTCTACTGTACCAAGCGTGATGCCCTTCTCTAGGGGCCGGTCCCTCCTGATAACATATCCAAAGCGCGTGAGACGAAGTCTCGCCATCTTTACTTCTAAGGAACATTCTGGCTGTACTTCTTCCAAGACAGATTTGTTTGTTCTTCTGACAGTCCATGGTATATTAAATATTTATCGCCAACACCATGATTCAAACACATCGATTCTTTTTTGGTCTTCCTTATTCATTGTCCAGCTTTCTCATGCATATGAGGCAACTGAAAATATCATGGTTTGGGTCAGGCGCACCTTAGTCCTCAAAGTGACATCTTCACTTTTCAACACTTTAAAGAGGTCTTTTGCAGCAGATTTGCCCAATGCAGCGTGTCATTTGATTTCTTGACTGCTGTTTCCATGTGATTGTGGATTCAAGTAAAATGAAATCCTCGACAACTTTAGTCTTTTCTCCGTTTTTCATGATGTTGCTTATTGGTCCAGTTGTGAGGATTTTTGTTTTCTTTATGTTGAGGTGTAATCCATACTGAAGGCTGTGGTCTTTGATCTTCATCAGTAAATGCTTCAAGTCCTCTTCACTTTCATAAGCAAGGTTGTGTCATCTGCATAATGCAGGTTGTTAATGAGTCTTCCTCCAATCCTGATGCCCTGTTCTTCTTAATATAGTCCAACTTCTTGGATTATTTGCTCAGCATACAGATTGAATAGGTATGGTGAAAGGATACAGCCCTGACGCACACTTTTCCTGACCTTAAACCATGAATTATCCCCTTATTCTGTCCGAACAACTGCCTCGTGATCTATGTGCAGGTCCCTCATGAGCACAATTGAGTGTTCTGGAATTCCCATTCTTCACAAAGTTATCCATAATTTGTTATGATCCACACAGTCAAATGCCTTTGCATAGTGAATAAAACACAGGTAAACATCTTTCTGGTATTCTCTGCTTTCAGCCAAGATCCATCTGACATCAGCAATAATATCCCTGTTTCCACTTAAACTCTTCTGAATCCAGCTTGAATTTCTGGCAGTTCCCTGTCAAAGTACTCCTGCAACCATTTTTGAATGATCTTCAGCAAAATTTTACTTGCGTGTGATATTAATGATATTGTTTGATAATTTCCACATTCTATTGGATTGCCTTTCTTTGGAATGGTCTCAAATATGGATCTCTTCCCGTCAATTGGCCAGGTAACTGTCTTCCAAATTTCTTGGCTGCGTCCGTTTGTTGAAACATCTCAATCGGTATTCTGTCAATTCCTGGAAACTTGCTTTTTGCGAATGCATTCAGTGCAGCTTGGACTTCCTCCTTCAGTACCGTCGGTTCTTGATCATATGTTACCTCCTGAAATGGTTGAACACCAACCAATTCTTTTTAAAACAGTGACTCTGTCCATTCCTTCCATCTTCTTCTGATGCTTCCTGCATTGTTCAATGTTTTGCCAGTAGAATCCTTCAGAATTGCAACTTGAGGCTTGAATTTTTTCTTCTTCAGTTCTTTCAGCTTGAGAAATGCCAAGCATGTTCTTCCCTTTTGGTTTTCTAACTCCAGGTCTTTGCGCATTTCTTTATAATACTTTACTTTGTCTTCTGGAGCTGCCCTTTGAAATCTTCTGTTCAGCTCTTTTACTTCATCATTTCCATTTTGGTCTTGTCTTTCTTTCCTGTCTTTTTAGTGACCTTTTGCTTTCTTCATGTATGATGTTCTTGATGTCATTCCACAACTTCTTTGGTTTCTGGTCTTGAGTGTTTAATGCATCAAATCTATTCTTGAAATGGTCTCCAAATTCAGGTGGGATATACTCAAGGTTGTATTTTGGTTCTGTGGCCTTGTTTCAATTTTCTTCAGCTTCAACTTAAACTTGCAGATGAGGAGTTGATGATCTGTTCTGCAGTCGGCCCCTGGCCTTGTTCTGACTGATGGTATTGAGCTTCTCCATCACGTCTTTCCACAAATGTAGTTGATTTGATTCCTGTGTTTTCCATGCAGTGAGATCCACGTGTATAGTCGCCCTTTATGTTGTTGAAAAAAAGGTACCTGCAGTGAAGGAGTCGTTGGCAAAATTCTATCATGTGATCTCCGGTGTTGTTTCTATCACCAAGGCCATATTTTCCAACTACTGATCCTTCTTCACTGTTTCCAAGTTTCACATTCCAATCACCGGTAATTATCAATGCAACTTGATTGCGTGTTTGATCAATTTCAAACTGCAGAAGTTGGTAAAAATCTTCAGTTTCCTCATCTTTGGCATTAGTGGTTGGTACATAAATTTGAACAATAGTCATATTAACTGGTCTTCTTTGTAGGTGTATATATATTATCCTATCACTGACAGCATTATCCTTCAGGATAGATCTTGAAATGTTCTTTTTGACGATGAATGCAACGTCATTCCTCTTCAATTCGTCATTCCCGGCATAGTAGACCATATGATTGTCTGATTTAAAATGGCAAGTATCAGTCCATTTCAGCTCACTAATGCCTAGGATATTGATCTTTATGCTTTGCGTTTCATTTCTCATGACTTCCAGTTTTCCTGGATTCATACTTCATACATTCCATGTTCTGCAAATGGATGTTTGCAGTTGTTTCTTCTCATTTTCAGTCATGCCACCTCAGCAAATGAAGGTTCCAAAAGCTTGACTCCATCCATGTCATTAAGGTTGACTCGGCTCTTACCCAGTCGTATTTTGAGTGCCTTCCAACCTGAGGGTCTCATTTTCCAGCACTATATCAGACAGTGTTCTGCTGCTATTTATAAGTTTTTCACTGGCCAATTTTTTCAGAAGTAGACTGCCAGGTCCTTCTTCCTAGTCTGTCTTAGTCTGGAAGCTCTGCTGAAACTTGTCTACCATGAGTAACCCTGCTGGTATTTGGAATACTGGTGGCATATCTTCCAGAATCACAGCAACACACAAGCTACCACAGTATGAGAAACTGACAGATGTGTGGTGGGAACTGTCCTATAGGGTTTCCAAGGCTCTAATCTTTAGGAAAGCTGACTGCCAAATCTTTGTCCCACAGAGTGGCTGGTGGGTTCAAACCGCT